GATTCTAAGATATGTAACAGGGTTGATGTTCCAGGAGGGATAAGCCAAATGGCAAATGATTTAGGTAAACTAATGGTCAGAGTTGTGGCAACTGACATTTAATGTGGATAAGTGCAAGATAATGCATCTTGGACGTAAAAACCCAAGGGAAGAGTACAGAATATTTGATAGAGTCCTAATCTCAACATATGAGGAAAGAGGTTTAGGGGTGATTATTTCTGATGACTTAAAGGTAGGCAGACAATGTAATAGAGCAGCAGAAAATGCTAGCAGAATGCTTGGTTGCATAGGGAGAGGTATTAGCAAGAGAAAGAGAGACGTGCTCATGCCATTGTAGAGAACACTGGTGAGACCTCACTTGGAGTATTGTACACAGTACTGGAGACCTTATCTTCAGAAGGATATTGATACCTTTGAGAGAGTTCAGAGAAGGGCTACTAAACTGGTTCATGGATTGCAGGATAAAACTTACAAGGAAAGGTTAAAGTATCTTAACATGTATAGCTTGGAGGAAAGACAAGACAGGGGGGATATGATATAAACATTTAAATATATTATGGGAATCAACACAGTAAAGGAGGAGACTATATTTAAAAGAAGAAAAGCTATTACCACAAGAGGACATAGTCTTAATTTAGAGGGGCAAACGTTTAAAAATAATATCAGGAAGTATTACTTTACTGAGAGGGTAGTGGATGCATGGAATAGCCTGCCAGTTGAAGTAGTAGAGGTTAACACAGTAAAGGAGTTTAAGCATGCGTGGGATAGGCAGGAGGCTATCCTAACTATAAGATAAGGCCAGGGACTAATGAAAGTATTTAGAAAATTGGGCAGACTAGATGGGCCGAATGGTTCTTATCTGCCGTCACATTCTATGTTTCTATGTAATTCTGCAGTACAAAGGAAATTAACCGAATGTAGCACACAGAAATTAAAGCTAAATAAGACCATCGCTATTATTGGGAAGAAGATGCTTAAAGGTGCCGTCTGATGGCAACAAGGATACGGGAGACCCCTATTGGTATAGGCAATGTGACTCTGGGGTGAAGTCCATTCTCAGCTGAAGCCCAAGGTCGGGAACGTTGGATGGTTGCCGCAAAGTGTAGTAAGGCGGGAGCGTGGTGTAGGGCCCCTCCTGCCCCAGGCCGTGATGATTGTAAACATCAAGGAACCATGGATTCGAGAGCTCGCATTGGGGTTTAAGTCCATCCCCACCCGGGAGTTCTGGAAGCTCCTGGTGCTCGGACTCCGCCTGCGGCGATGGGTCTTCCATCTGGGTGGTTGATGTATGGGGACTACGTCCCCAACGGCCCTCAGCCTAGACGTGCCAGCTCTGGGAAGCACAGGAGATTGCTGGGATGCTTTGCCTGGAGGAGGCACTCTTGCCTCTGCTCCCGTGTCACTCGCTTCTTTCCCCAGATTCTGAGGTGATGCCGCCATGATGTGGGCCTCCAGTTTTGCTCAGAAGCTTGCAAAGTGACATTTCAGTCACTCCATGATGTGGTCAGGCTCCATTAGTGTGAGCTCATGCTTATGTGGCGTGAGCATGTCAGCCATCCTGGGGGGTCAGCTGCGGTATGGTATCAAACGGAATTGTCTGCCTTGCATCTGCAGTGGTGAGTTAAGCAGCCCCGTGGGGACCGGGATATCCCCCGCTGGTCCAGATTGGGGGGGAGGTAACAGGGCGCTGTAGTTCACTGTGGATGAGTGTCGCTTTGTGGGACAGGAGATCGGCTGTTTCTCCCGCCCAGCATGCACACTAGGCCTCAATGGCTCCGGCACACCAGTGTTAGTCGGCACCTCCTGAGCAAATGACCAAATCCTCCAGGCTGGCTTTAACAGCAGGTGAGGTGCTGCCGGATTCAGATTTTCGTATCGGGTGTCGCAGGGTTCTATTTAAATTGAGAGCTCTGTTAAGAGCTCCTGCGTGTTGTGACCAGCAGCCATGAGGTTCAGGCTCTGTCCCCCGTATATCTCTATTTTGTGTCTTTTTGGTTGTATATGAGAAACGCCCTATACTGTATGGATAAGCCTTTTTTTTGCGCTGCACTATATTCTGCTGTGTGTGTGTTAAGGGTATTACCATCTAAACCTAGTTTTCATACCAAGTGGTGTTTACTTTAAAAGCAATAGATACTCCCACCAATCCCTAGGTCAAACAATACATATCCCCACCAATCCCCCAAGTCACACAATAGATACCCCCACCAATCACCCAAGTCATACAATAGATATCCCCACCAATTCCCAAGTCATACAATTGATAACCCCACCATTTCCCAAGTCAAACCCTAGACACCCCAACAATCCCCAAGTCAAAACAATAGATAGCGCCAAGTCAAATAGATACCCCCACCAAACTCACCTGAAATAATAGATACCTCCACCAATCCCCCAAGTCAAACAATAGACATCCCCCACCAAACCCCTGACTCGAATAATAGATACTACCACCAAACCCGACTCGAATAATAGATACCCCCACCAATCCCCAAATCAAAGAGAGTTATACTTAATTTGGAGATGTAGTTGAAAAAGTGTGAAAGCCTTCACTTATCCCCAAAGTTCCTTAAAAAGAAAACATATTTATTTATATATCCAAATAAATTGTAAAATGGAATGCCCCCCCACCATCCCCGCATATGGATTGCACTCACAAGTAGCATGCAAATATTTGTATTAGGTTTCCTTCCTCAGATTTTTGCTGTTTTCCCATTTGTTTGGTTATATATGTTATGAATAATACAGAGGCTGAACCTTACACCTCTATCAATCCCCAGGTCTTAGATTTCTAAGATAAAGAAAATGATTTTTACTGTAAGAACAATAAGATTGTGGAATTCTCTGCCTGAAGAAGTGGTTTTATCAGAGTCCATACAGATGTTCAAACAGCTACTAGATGCATACTTGCAAAAACAGAATATTCAAGCATATATTTATTCAATGTAGGCTAATAGCTTCTTGATCCAAGGAATAATCTGACTGCCATTCTGGGGTCAAGAAGGAATTTTTTCAGCTCTTCAGACTGGGCAAAAAACAAATGTGAGGAAGGCTGAACTTGATGGACACAAGTCTCTTTTCAGCTATGTAACTATGTACATAGGACAGTATGGTTCCTAAAGTTGGCTAGAATAAAGTATAGATGGGGCTTCCAATTCAAATGTATGGCCTTCTCCCAGGGCAAGACTTTGACTCTCCTTCCCACTTCAGTGCTGGCAACGTTCCTTTCCAATTAAGGTGTGCCTCCAACAATGTAATTTTAAAGGTCACCCTAAATGGTCAGTGGTGGCTGCTCTCAGGTGGTCACTTGTTCTCTTAATAGGAGTCAGACTAGTCTCCCTGATCTGTATTTCCATTAAAGGAACCCTTCACTTGCTGAAGTCATGTCATATTTGAGACAGTTTATGAAAGTGTCAATTTCAGTAGTCTTATTAGTATGTTACCCTTTTCTACTTCTATATAAACCAGCATCCTGCCTCAGTACCTTAACAAAAAGAAACCCAGCCTTATGTTGTATCTTGAGAGTCGTAAAGACACTTTTTATATATCTATATTTACACAATATACAGTAGTTCAAGCATTCCATATTTTTATAATCAATATTGAAACAATGCAGGCAATGACCCAATTAAAAGGGGAGAGACTCTTTATAAAATAAACCCACAAAGGTAGTATGGAACTAGTATCAAACGCAATAAAACCATCACACAAGGATTACTTTGTCTTCCGTTGTCATTTTTGCCAAAATATAATATGGCCACTACCACATCTCTGATCAGCCAATCACTCGCAATTGCTTATGGATACATGCATCACCTAGCACATGTATGACATAATCTACAGAAAACTCTGTCCGATCTATCTGGCTCCCATTTTACACTCTTGCAACACAGACAAAGCATCTGGGAGATAAATCAGCCATAGGCAGAATACCAGGACTAAAAAAACCATGGAAAATCTGGAGAATCCAATGCAGGGATCATATTTATCTCCCCTCTCTCCCCAGGTGACTCCATGCACCTGGTATTCATGTGTACACATTTCTTTAAGTGTTAAATTCTACCAAAATTCCACAGATCCAAGAATTCTGTTTTTAATGTAAGAAGTATTAATAGTAAATGATGTGTCCTCTATAAAAATAAAGCAACTCCTATTAACACAGATACAAGAGTCTGGTTGGGCATGGGAAGAGTCAATGGAACCTGAGTAAAACCACACAAGACAGATTGTTGATTATTAACGGAGAGGTATTTGCCATTTATGGTCTTCCCTGAAAGAAACAAGGTGGAAAGGAGAACCAGCTGTAACTTTGAGGGCTGGGAGTAATATTTGACTTGATGATCATATGCTGGATTTGTACTTTCATAACACCTGTTAAAAGTATGAGTGCAGTTTGTTTTAAGCCAATAAATTGTGGCTTTATCAGATTTACAAAAAATTTACGTTAAGATATCTGAACTAATTACGTCTCTCCAACACCACTTGCTTTTAGAGATTCAGCCAGCGGGAATCTAGACAGTTGATTTATAAGTGGGGATTGCTTTATTAGTATACTACGCTATGAAGGTTTACAACTCTCTTGCCTCAAACGTGCTTCGTGACTTGTGTATCTAAGCAGGAAACTATGTAAGCAGTTGTTGTCTATAGAGTTTCAGCATGGCATTTTTTTTTAACATCTACTTTTTTTTTAACTCAAATAATCAGCAACTTTTCATATTGTGTTTCATGATGTTCTTGCACCTCTAATAAAGGTCTGCTTATGGAACATATAGTGTATACGCTGTTAAAGGCAGATGTAAATTAGAAACCTGGTGACAGAAGGCTAAATTACTAAACAAATATATATAATAAGGAAATTACAATAACATATTACAAGCACTGTAAACAATTGTTTATATAGACACTATATATATATAACAGACTCTGCTGATTATTACACTGAGAAATTGGAAGAATCATTTTGAAATATAACTATTTATTCTGGTGTTAATGTCCACTTATCAGTTCCCTGACCCTAAAATGTTGCCAGGCCCTAGAATTTGGTTTTCTCCTTTGTGAATTTTCTGATGATTAACTAGAACAGATTTTTGAGTGAAGCATTTGCCACAGTTAGGACAGCGATATGGTTTCTCTCCAGTGTGTGTTCTCTTATGCTTTACAAGAACAGATTTTTGTGCAAAACATTTCCCGCATTCAGGGCAGAAAAAAGGTTTTTCTCCAGTGTGAGTCCTTTGATGAGAAACAAGAACTGATTGATGAGCAAAGCATTTGCCGCACTCAGGACATGAATACGGTTTCTCTCCAGTGTGGATTCTTTTATGGTTAACAAGATGCGATTGATGGTTAAACCGTTTTCCACATTCAGGGCAGGAATATGGTTTCTCTCCCGTGTGAATTCTCTGATGCAAGATAAGATTGGGCTTCAAGTTAAAACATTTCCCACATTCAGGGCAAGGATACGGCTTCTCTCCAGTGTGGATTCTATGATGTAAAATAAGATGCTGTTTCCGGTTAAAACATTTCCCGCAATCAGGGCAGGGATATGGCTTCTCACCTATGTGAACGCTTTCATAATCAAGAAGCCGTGGTTTAGGTAAAACATGTTTCCCAGATTCAGAACTTGCAGATATTTTTTCTGTTTTATGGGCTGTTTCATGCACAGCAAGTGCTGATCTACAGCTAAATTGCTCCCCACATTCAGAGCAAGCATGGAAATCTAAATTATGAAGTGCCCTGTGGTTAATGAGATCTGTGTGATCATTAAATGACATTTGGCACTTAGAGCAGTTATACATGAAAAAAATATCAGAGTTAGTTAGATTTTCTTCCTCGCCAGAAGACGATTCCTCCTTTATACAAATAGACATATATCCTGCCTGTGATTGTTGTGAGGGTGTATAAATGTTGTGGTTTGTGAGATTTCCTTCATATGAGAGTAATTTCTTCTTAGAAAGAATAGATGAATATTCTGTCTGTGGATGTTCTGTGGATGTAGAAATATCTATAAGATTTTCTTCATCATATGAAGCTGGTTCCTCCTTAATAGGAGTAGATGGATATTCTGTCTGAGGATGTTCTGTGGGTGTAGAAATATCTGTGAGATTTCCTACTTCACGTGAGGCTGAACCCTCCTTAATATGTGCAGACAGATATTCTGTCTGTGGATGTTCTGAAGATGCATAAAAGTCAGAGAAATTTCCTTCTTCAGATGAGATGGATTCCTCCTTAATATGAAAAGACGTATAGTCCATCTGTGTGTTGTCTGTGGAAATATACATGCCAGTGAGGTTTTCGCCTCCTGTAGATGTATTTCCAGTTTTAGACATATCTGTTGGAAAAAAAAATAGGCATGCGTGAGTGTTTCAGCAGAGAAAGATTGTAATGTTTGCTACAGCTGATAAGACCACACATGCACACTCAGTGATCAGTTACCATTCTAGGAAAAGATTACAAATAAAGAAAGTATTTTACGTGTAGTCTCAATGTAGTCAAAATATTGAAAAGCTATAAAATAACAAAATTGCCAGTATTAGTGAACAATTGATAGTGTTTTCTGAGAGCGTGCAGTAACATCTGCAAAAGACACCTACATGAAGATAAAGCAGGGACAGAGAGACATGCACATAGTGGTCACATGGGACAGGTCCTGCCACACACAACACTTTAGGTTCCCATCCTGGTTCATTCAGATAATTGTTTTCCAGAGATAGTTCAGTGAAAACCCAACTGCAAAATTCAGACTATAACAGCGAAACACTGACAATAGTTCAATAGGATAGGGAGTACCCATACCACTTAAGCTCAATGAAGTGGTCTGGGTGCCAGATCCCCCAGGTTTTAACCCTTCAGATGTAAACATAGCATTTCAGGGTTAATCCAGCCTTTAGTGGCTGTCTTCCTGACAGAAGCTAGAGGTGCTTCTGCGATGCTGGATGCGAAAATCGCATTCAACGTGTGGAACGTCCATAGGAAAGCATTGAGAAATGCTTTACTATGGACTGTCTGAATGCGCGCGCGGCTCTTGCCGCTCCACTCGGGAGCTGACGTCGTCAGGGGGAGGAGAGGTCACCAGTGCCGAGGGAGCCCGCTGCTTGGTTAAGGTAAGTGGCTAAAGGGAGGTGGATCCTTAGGGTGGGGGGACCTAAGGGTTATATAGTGTCAGGAAAATAGGTTTGTTTTCCTGACACTATAGTGATCATTTAACTCCTAAATGGCAGAGAATTGAGCAATTCGACTGCAGGTGCATAATCTATACACCAAAACTTCCTCATTAAGCTAAAGTTGTTTTGTTGACTTTAGTGTTCCTTTAAGTTTAATTACATACAATTTCAATGTTATTCTGTTAAGATTGTATTATTTCCAATCTAGAAATGTAATAACGTGTATTATTTAGCATTATAACTGGATCAGTGTTTTATTGTTTCGACATAATAAAGTGTACAAAAACATTATATGCAATTTATCACTAGTAAAGTATATGATTATACAAGGCTTTATATAGATCAGAGGGGCCCAAAAGGTAGATCCCAGATATTGTATGATGCTTTGCATGTCTTTAGAATGACAAAGCATTATGGAAGTTGTAGTTTTGAAACATTTTGGGATCTCCCTTTTGGGCACCCCTGATATAGATTCATATTAATCATGGCCACAGCAGAAGTGTGATATTCTGTTTGAGAAAAGCTCCTGACTGTGAAGAGACTTACAGAACATAATATACATTCTATACAATTCTGTTCTTCTACCGTAGGAAAGATGAGACAGGGATGATAGAAACATTTAACCCCTTAAGGACACAACTTCTGGAATAAAAGGGAATCATGACGGAATATTTCCGTCATGTGTACTTAAGGGGTTAAATACATAAAGGGAATCAAAACAGTAAAGGAGGAGACTATATTTAACCCCTTAAGGACCAAACTTCTGGAATAAAATGGAATCATGACATGTCACACATGTCATGTGTCCTTAAGGGGTTAAAGGAATAAAAACAACCACAACAAGAGGACATAGTCTTAAATTAGAGGGGCAAAGGTTTAAAAATAATATCCGGAAGTATTACTTTACTGAGAGGGCAGTGGATGCATGGAATAGCTTTCTAGCTGAAGTGGTAGAGGTTAACACAGTAAAGGAGTTTAAGCACGCGTGGGATAGGCATAAGGCTATCCTAACTATAAGATAAGGCCAGGGACTAATGAAAGGATTTAGAAATTGGGCAGACTAGATGGGCCAAATGGTTCTCATCTGCTGTCACAGTCTATGTTTCTACCTGGCTCAGCAGGACAATGCACAAAGCAATATAGTTTGTAAATACTGGCTTTCACACAACCTTTGTCAATAATCTATATTCACCACACAATAGCATCACATTAAGGCGGATTGGCAAATTTAAAGGGACACTAACATACCCCAACACTGCAACTCATTGTACTGGTTATGTTACCTAGATTCCACAGACACCGTCCCTCTGTTTAATATCAAACTTCAATGTCAATTTCTTTTCCAGTCAGAATGACATTGATTGGCTGAAAGTGCCAGGGGTGGGTTAATACATCCAAGTGGGATGAAATTGGACTTCAATCTGTGAAAGTGTTAATGCCATATGATCAATGTACCTGAGATGGGGTGGCACCAGGAAGATTATAACAAACCATATTGAAACTATTTCATATTAAACCAGATGAATGTATGCCGTCTAATCCTTATAATGTTTATGTGACTTAGTGTTCTTTAATTCACTTTTAGCTGAATCATCATTAGGTATCACAGATGATATGTTCAGTAACTATATTCCATTCCAATTGTAGAACAATTAATTAAAGAAATTCTGACGTGTTCTGTATTGGTACTTACTGCTTGTTCTTACCTATTACACGGAGTGTAATGGGTGGTTACTGAGTCCTTCCCTCGGCACCAGTCCATCCTCTAACTATGGCCTCAAATTTCATTCTTTGGAAAAGCTTTTTCAAATGATCACAATCAGTTAGAAAAACATTTCAAATGTATAAATCCATTAAACTTGAATTATAAATCCATTAAACTTGAATTGTGAATCTGGAAATAGATCTTTTGAAAAGGTTTTTACCAGCAGATTGTGATAATTTGAAAAGTTTATGCAAACAAAATAAATCGAGGCCAGTAGGGCAATATAAGATCTGATTGAAGTACTTTATGGTTACAAAATAAATCGAGGCCAGTAGGGCAATATAAGATCTGGTTGAAGTACCTTATGGTTACAAAATAAATCGAGGCCAGTAGGGCAATATAAGATCTGACTGAAGTACTTTATGGTTACAAAATAAATCGAGGCCAGTACGGCAATATAAGATCTGATTGAAGTACTTTATGATTACAAAATAAATCGAGGCCAGTATCTGATTGAAGTACTTTATGGTTACAAAATAAATCGAGGCCAGTACGGCAATATAAGATCTGATTGAAGTACTTTATGGTTACAAAATAAATCGAGGCCAGTAGGGTAATATAAGATCTGATTGAAGTACTTTATGGTTACAAAATAAATCGAGGCCAGTAGGGCAATATAAGATCTGATTGAAGTACTTTATGGTTACAAAATAAATCGAGGCCAGTAGGGCAATATAAGATCTGATTGAAGTACTTTATGGTTACAAAATAAATCGAGGCCAGTAGGCAATATAAGATCTGATTGAAGTACTTTATGGTTACAAAATAAATCGAGGCCAGTAGGGCAATATAAGATCTGATTGAAGTACTTTATGGTTACAAAATAAATCGAGGCCAGTAGGGCAATATAAGATCTGATTGAAGTACTTTATGGTTACAAAATAAATCGAGGCCAGTATGGCAATATAAGATCTGACTGAAGTACTTTATGGTTACAAAATAAATCGAGGCCAGTATGGCAATATAAGATCTGATTGAAGTACTTTATGGTTACAAAATAAATAGAGGCCAGTACGGCAATATAAGATCTGATTGAAGTACTTTATGGTTACAAAATAAATAGAGGCCAGTACGGCAATATAAGATCTGATTGAAGTACCTTATGGTTACAAAATAAATTGAGGCCAGTACGGCAATATAAGATCTGATTGAAGTACCTTATGGTTACAATGTCTGCTTCTGCAATTTGTTTTGAAGACATTGAAATGCATGAGTTTACTCACTAAACATGGAACTGCATAGATAGGACTGTGAAATGACCAATTTAGGACAAAATTATTAAATTGAAAAGAGAGCTGCTTTGAGGAATATTTCTGTGTATGGTACTTCCACTGTGAATACTTAGTTAACAGATCACCCCAAGGTGGGCAGTTTTGATGTTTCCAGCACTAGGTTTAACAAGTCTGTTTGATGTATGATGTGTGCTGTATCTGGATTGCAAACCCAATGGCATGGAATAGATTTAAAGCCTAAAGCCGTCAGCCCCTGTGTTATAATACTGAAACCGTATGAAACAAAACTCCTAAGGAACAATGTCAAATCTAGCACTTTGCTAAATTGAAACAGATCAAGTTGTTCAGAAGACAGAGGAGGTTTCTACGTCATACTGGAAAGGAGTAATGAATGGCGTAGCCATTACAGTGTTTGTGTGATGTATGCACACACAGATAGATATCAAGGGGCACGTACTACTTGAACAAGTCACTGTGTAGCACAGAGATTATATAAACACAATACAAATACATTTCCTATATATAAAGACACTTGGCAGCTTCTTACCTATCTTGGTGAATGGCTGGTGATTTGTTGTCAAGAAGTCTGTATCAGGGTCAAAACACTCCCACCATTCCATAGAGGAAGCGACAGTGACATCGTCACATCTTATAGGCACCTGATACACACAATGATACAGTCACCATCCAGACACATTCCTTGGTTTTACAGTATAGTTTCCCATCCCCAGCAGCTTTACCTCTCCAGTCAGCAGCTCAATGATCTGATTGGTCAATTCCAGGATCTTCTCATCATAGTTTCTCTCATGGATTGGGGAATGATGTTGAGGCACCTTGCTGAGACCCTTATTCCTGCAGAATACTGCAATACAGGGGCTGCTACTGTATGAAATGTGGTCAATAAACTTCTTCACCACAACATAATCCTACACAGAGACAGAAAGCGGTAACATTTTAAAAAGGCTGTTTGCATATACAGGTGAAGTGGGATACCTAATAAATCAATTTACAAGAACAAACTTTCTGTTATGAGGCTCAGTGCAAGCAGTCATATCTGTGGCTATGGTATTAACATATCGCACAAATATCTCGCCGATACCCAAACATTTCCCTACTGACACGTCTTCCTGTAAAAACACCTGCTATTTCTTGTAATGAGATAAATTGTGTGCATTACTCACCCCTCCAGTCAGCAGGTAGACAATCTCCAGGGTGAAATTTAACACCCTCTTACTCCTCTCATTCATCTCGTTGTGTTGTAGGCGAGTTTGTGCAATGACGCAGAGTCAGAGGGCTTTTGAGAAATGTACGTCTTTGTTCTCCTACACAAGGAACAAAGATAACAAGAGGCATTTTTTGTATGCAACAGTCATGTACTCCCTCTTCTATATGATTTTATGCTAAGCATGTTGATAAATTCCCTTCCATACATGGAAGATGAAATATCATCCCCTCAGCACAGGTTTAAAAGTGACTTTTCAGGGGGCGAGACCTGGCCACAGAGTGGAGCAGTCGCAAGATACCACGGCTCTTGCTCTACTTTGTGATTTTCACAGATTTTCTGCTAAAAGACGACAGCACTCCGCTACCAAGTGACAAGGGGCATTTCAGATGATATTAAAAAAATACAATAAGTTGTGTAGGCGCTTCAAATATTAAATAAACCAAACAAAGTAAGTGTGAAAAAGGTGTAATCCCTTAACACCTAAGAAACAAAGTGAAAGAATAAAAGGATTCACACACTCAAAATTACAGTATGTAAACATACCACCTATAACAGATATAGGTATAATGATTACACCTGTAAAACAAATGAAATGCACATAGTGTTTTCCATATAAACAAATACACAATGTATAAAATATATGAGGAATAAACTCACAAGGCTGGAGCCTAATATGCTCTCTGTATATCACCCTTGGGTGCCTATCCAGGCTCTCGATAAACTTCCTGTGAAGAACTTGAATTCCACGAAGAAATAAAAATGTGAAATATTTTTTATTAAATGTATTATTAAAAATATATATCCAATAGGGACAAATATGAGGCAGGTATAAATAAATTAAGTATAACACAGTATCACACCGCAAATCTGGCCAAGGATAAAAGCAGTGAAAATACTAAAATGTAAATACAATATAACAATACCGCCAACAAGAAAAAGTCCCAATAAAAGTCCAAAATATAGCAAACGTGTTTCTGAGGCCTACAAGCATGGTTGGCGTAGGGGAGGTGACCACTCTCACACTACCGCCGATAGCTGTCTGTTCAGTCTGAGTCCCTCCCCCCCCTTCTTCCCCCCCATGGACTGACAGGGGTTATCCCGGTCCTAGGAAATCATCTTCCAGCCAAGCGACACCAGCAAGATAGCAAGCATTGACTCTGTTAGAGTGGCGGAACAGTCCACCATCCACAAACTGGATGCTACCTTTGCAGCTTTCATGAAGCGTATATCAGAGAGGCAGAGGGTCACACAAAGCCCTATGACTCATAACTCACCGCCCCCACTACAAACATGAGTGATCCCACTCAGTGTAAAAATAAAAATAAATAAAACCAGATCTAATACCAGAGCATCACTACTGTCCATCCGCAATTCACAGTCTATTTCTCCACTCCGCTGCAATACCTCTAAATGTGGCCCTCACTAGGCCTTCACTTCATACATTACACACGGCCCTCTGTGGGCAATCCATTAAGACACCATTTTTGCTACACATTTGGGCAATTACATACATTTCCAGCTTTACAAGGGTTAACTGCAACCCTGTCATACTTTGGTTGACTATTCCTCAGCCTTGTTAGGCACACACAAATCATTCTTTTACGACACTCTCTCTGCACTCCTGAGAACCAAGAACATCTAATTACACATTTAACCATATTCACGCCTCCTCGGTCTGTCATGGTTTTACCTAAGCCTGGTATAATCCACAATTCCTATCACGAGCACTTACTAGATCTTACATATTTTGCTTCCTGCTTGTAAACTAGAGATGTTTCGATCTTTCCCATACTTTATGTCCTTCTTTTGGAAGGATACACAGTGGGAACACATAATTAGACACAGCACTACTAGGTATCTCTTTCATATCCATATTGAAAATCCTAAGTTCTATTATTATCTAGGTTTCTGCTATCCCTACTTATGATCCTGTTGTTAACGTTTTAATCTTTAACCACACTTACATCATACTGGACATATCTCCATAAACATTCCCATTGTGTCTTTAGATTTCTCTCCACGACATACCTGTCACAAATTCATCCACGCACTAGTTGGGCAATATACGTACGTTCCAACATACTTTCTATCAATTCATTAAGTTCCCCTACATTCCTTAGGGATAGATCAACTGGCTGTTAAGAGTATTGGTGTGGGTCATATTATTGTATATTTGTAATTCAGTCACGTAAGGCCTACACCCATCTTCCCGAGAGGCATTCGTCCATCGGCCCGACTCATAGCTAGAGCCTTGCTCCTACCTCTCTAGGTTTTAGATAGGGCCTCTCATGTCACCGCCACTCCTTTAAAGCTCTTACTTGTCACCGAGAGGCCAACATTCCTGCCACATCGTTCGATGGCCTCGCTCCCTTGGCCAATTCATAGCTAGAGCTTCTCGGAGTCACTTGGCTTTCCCTCATTTAGCAAGTTTTTGGCCATTCGACAGTATGTAAGTCGCCAGTTGTTATAATATCACCTACATGACTGTAACATTTACTCTACGTATAGATGTTGCACACTAGAGAACTAGTAAGACATTTTTCACCATTCAGCACTACGTAAGCCACCAGTTGATGCTGGGTTACACAACCAACTGCATGACCATCACATTTCTTCTACTTATCTTTGTTTCACAACAACAGGATAATTAAATTCTAGGTCCCCCCACCTGAACCTCCTCACCTCGCACTCTGGCTACATGCCAGGTAACCCCACCTATGGCTCAGTGAGCTGAGCTGTTTAGATTACAGTTTGCCAACTCTTTAGACTCTCCTGCCAGGTGACAGCACTAACAGCATGGTTGGAATGCATGCCATGATATCACCCATACTTTCATCCTTCTATATATTTTGTTGACAAACTTGTCAAGTTAGATTCCCCTAACTCATAGGTCCCACCCTCCCAAGAAGTACACTACTTCATCCCCCTTCCTTCCATCCTCTCAGAATAACACCACCAGTTACTATCCAGCATAGGTTCCCCCGTCTCCCGTTATCATACCGTACATTAAATTCTCCTCTCCATTAGATTGGACATGGCTATAGAGATTTGTCAGTTGTTTCAAATCTGGGGACCCCAGACTGAACAAACTGTCTGTTCTGTATTCATTCTCACCTCGGGTCAATTAAGTCGTCTGCCTTAATACTTATAATTCCCCTCCTCTAGTCAAAATTCTCCTTACAGGGTGTCACAGTTTTCCACACAGGTGTCACTTTACTTGCATCAGGTACTCGGGATTGTCCAAACCTCCAACCTGCACTTGAAGTCTCATTCCCCTTAAGTTACTATTTGTGATGGAATCAAGGATTGGTTTCATTAAAGGGGAGGGGCTATTCAGACGCTTCCTTTTCACTTGTAGGGCTCTGATCCGATTAGCTTAATTACGGAGGAATAATGCCGATTAATTGTCATTATCGGCTCCTCATTCAATTGAGTTCCCTTTATTATGCAGCCTGGTTCAGGAAACTGCCATATCTCTTGACTTCAGGATGCTCCCAGTGCTTCCGGTCGGTGGCATTGGACGATATTTGTTGGAAGGAGCATTCTTACTTCACCACCTGTCTTACATTTGTGGCCATGTGCTACCCCAAACTACTGACATATTTGCATAATCTCTCTATTAGCTCCTGATGTGCATCGATGCTATGCCTCAGTGTTACATGACCTTGGCAATTTATACCGATAATAAAACTGTATGCCATACCTCGAAGCAGGCAAAAATAAATATATAAATAAATTTGAATCTGTTACATCTTTTGACGCCCCATGGTCTTGATAAAAAACTGTTGGCTCTCCACCAGTTTTATTCTTATGGACATACACACGATATTTGCATTTCAGCCTCTCCACAATCTATGTCCAGCAAATCAGATGGGGGAAGCCCTTTATGGGACACTATGCTTGTTCCCATTTGGATCCCCAGCCTCTCCTTGATCCGCTGAACTTTACTATGCACATTATACATCGGCGCTCCTTTATTTCCCAACAACTCCCCTGCTCTTCGTGCTTGTGTGGAGACGGAACAAGCAACCTCTGAAAGGTAACAGGGGCATTATTTATCATGACTTTAAATTGGAACAAGCCGAACAGGGTGATGAAGGCCAACTTGGGAGTTGCGTCGGCAGCCAAGGGGGTCTGCTAGTACCCTCTGCTCAGGACGAGGGAAGAGACCCAAGCAGCGCTAGAAAGTCGGTCGAGGAACTCATACCCTGGGCATGGGATAGGCGTCGGTAGTGGTCTTTTCGTTGAGCTGCTTATAATCGTCACAAATCCAGTTGGTCTGTCCTTTTTGTGTACCAACACTACAGGGGGAAGCCCAGGAGCTGTGGGAAGGTTATATGATGCATTAAGCTTGCATTTCTTCGAGCTCCTGGTGGATATGTCCTGTGACAGCCTCTGGCACCCTGTAGGTCGATTGGCAGTGGGGAGCTTGGCTGGGGGCTTTGACTGCATGGTGGGCTAACATGGTAGCACCAGGCTGAGCAGAGAACAAGCGGGGTTGTTCCTGCATGACCGCTAAGAGTTGGGACTGCTTTTCAGGGCTAAGTTGAGCCTGTGTGAGGTCGTTTCAATCCTGGGTTTCGGCTAATAGGTCTGGGATTGCTTAGTCTCCTGTCTGTGTGGGATGGAGTGCAAATTACAGCTACATCTGCTGCACGTTCCAAGTGTGCCTTAAGCTCGTTGATGTGGCATATGCGTCGGGTCTGTCACTGGGCTCCCTTGGCTATCACATGGGTGGTTGTGGCGGAACCAACCTCGCCACTGGGCATTGGAGAAGCCTGTTTGCCCGCCTCCTGCCTTCTGACTATGACCCCTGGGAGACTTTGCCCTGTGTAAGCATTATTTGGGCTTACTGTATTTTAAAACACTTTTTCTGCCCCCCTTGAATACATGAGAAGGTGTGCCCCTCCCCCGTTTCCTGTCTATTGTTCTCCAGCAGGGCGTTGTCCCAGGGACACTGCCAGACCAGTTGGAACTTGTTGCTAAACTTTAACCCCATGGTAATTTGACTGTGTTTGTGGCATCTGAGCGCTGTTCGGATATAGTGAATGTGGGGGTTCTGTTCAGTATGATAGGAATTATGTGTTTTTGCTGTTGTTGTAAATGGAGATATTTTCTGTATGCTGGAGATAATTGGCTTACCACACCCAAGCCATGCTTGCAGTCGGTCAAATAGGTCTTCCATCTATCTTTTGAACCACTGGACCAATTTGTATGATTTTGACACGTTTGTATTTGGAGTATGCGGATTCTGAAAATGTTTTATGTGAATGTGATGTATACTTTTAAAGTTATGAATATTGTGCAAAACTGTGTATGTCCCTATCTGTGATAATTACGTTAGCCCATTGTGTTCAGTAATTGTATCACAGGCAGAGGGGAGGATTTCTGCTGGTATGAATGTGAGTGTTTAGCTGTGTTGTAATGTATTGATTGGTTGTTCTTCATGGGCGGTACTATGTTTGTAAAATGGGCATAAAAGCAGAGTGTTTGATTAAAAGCTTCAGTTCTACTACGCACCTCAATTTGGAGTTCCGTCTCATATTGGGGGAATCTGCTACAAGGGATTGCTATGCTCTGCATATTCCCTTGCTATAATAACTCCTAAGCTCTTTTAAGAGCTTGTTCCTGCTTCGCTCTGAAAGAAGAGCGGTTCGGCCTGCGGAGGTTGTGGTGTCTGCTAGAGTGCTTGGAGCCCTCTGGAAGCGCTAGGAGCATCCTTCAATGGAGGTACCCAGTCGGGGAGCCAGGCGATCCGTTACAGTGGTCCCCTCCTTCTTTCTACGACCTTCACAGACAGTCTGTAACTTGTTCTGCCTAGTGAGTCGTAGCATGAGGACCTGCTGCCCTTCCATGAATTCCCATTTCGGGCCAGAAGTCAAATTTTTTACTTCAAGGTAATTTCGTCTCCTTTTCTCGGGGATAGCCGATAAGCCTCTGCAGCTCGACCAGTTAGTTTCCCGACCAAGATGGGGACCCATTCGTGAGATTTCACGTGGTGTGTTCGGTACTGACTTTCAAAGTCTTGTAAGAATCCGTCGATGTCCTCAACTTGATTGTCAACAGTTTTAAAGGACTGGGTGACCTTGATGCCGCTGCTGGAATGGGAGCTTTGGAGGGACCCCATATCTTCTGGGATAGTGGCCGTAGCTTTGCCTCGGCTAATGGCCAGTTCTTTAGCTCGCTCCCTTTCGGCTGCCTCCATGATTCGCTTTATGAGGTGGGTTTGGACCAAAAAAAGCTAAGGGTTCTCTCACCCGTCTGGAGAGCTCCTTTGGTGCAGTCTGGGGTGCTGGGTGGGTTGCTGGCATGGCTAGACCTCTTGGTCCAGATTTACCAATTAGCTTGGTGTGGCGAAAGTAACCTCGCCACTGGGACTTGGAGGGGCCTAATTGCCAGCCTCTTGCCCCAGGATTATGGTCCATGTATTAGACCTGGATTCAGGACTGGGGAAAGCCTTTGTTTATGCCTTTTCCTTTTTACAGTTCAATATATGAAACTACCGAATGGATTGTGCCTATGGTGTTCATTTACCGACAACAATCGAACAGCCGGACCACACACAAGTGGAGGGTGTAGCCCATTTACCTCCCAGACTGGTAGTTAACCACAGCCAAATTGATAAACGGCTGGGTGGTCGCAGTTTGTATAGTCAAACACGTGGTGGTGGTTAGCTACTTTAATTATATCACAGGCATTTACTGTATGTGGGAGTGTCGTGCTGTTAACGACTGTTTTGATTGGTTTACGTCCCTTGTGTCCCTGTGTTCCATCAGGTCCAGGGGGTGTGCCTCTGGCCTGAAAAACTGTATAAATTGTAAGTGCTGCCTTCTATTAAACAGATCTGTGTTACCCCTTCATGAAGTCTTGGCTCATGTTTGGGGGATGGGATAACTACACTCTTGGAGATTACTATAATCACAATACTCCCCTGAGCTCTTGTAAGAGCTTGTTCCTGCTACGCTCTCTGGACTAAGAGAGGCCTATCCACTGGAAGCTGGATCCTGGTCTTGGGTCCAGGGTGGGTGGAGGACGGCGAGACCCTGGCGCAGCTGCATCGCTGGTAGTGGGGTCTGCAGTGCTTATGGTGTCTGGTGGAGTGCTTGGAGCCCTCGGCAAGCACTAGGAGCATCGATTGGCGGAGGTACTCTGTTAGTGTGCCAGCGGTCCATCACACTTGGGTTTCTTCATCCCCGCTGGACCTAGTTACTTCTCGGTCAGTAGTTCCTGTAGGGCTACTTTAGTTAGTTGTCTGTAGCTTTCTGCCATCCATGTCACTGTATTTTCCGCTGGACTTGTTTGGTACGGAGGATCCCACCTCAAACAAAAGTGACAAGGGTTACTAGGCTCAGGTCGTTGTGCCTTCCTTCCTCCCTCCACTAGTCCTAATTCCACATGGGCTTAGTAGTGTTTTAGCTCTCTGTCACAAACGCTCCTTCCCACGAACGTTTGCCACAGACATCTGCAGAAGTGTGGAAGCCGGCCTCCTGCCCACCGACTATGGTCCAGGTCTAAGACACCATTTGGAAGTTAACCTGCCCAGCTGCCATTAGCAGCTTTCCCTGGGTGCCGCTGGTTTGGTACTCTCCCTTCATTTGAATGGAACCGAACACTAGCTCCCTGGCGGCCATTCACATGAACCAAATGGTCCTCAGGGGTACTTAGCAGCAACGGCGATGGAACTAATTTCGGTATGAGGACTTTGTGGGTCCCCGCATGAGGTGACCGAGCTCCTGAAAGTTGACCGTCAAAAGCACCAAACCCCCTGGAACTATTTTGGGCATAGGACCACATGTGCGGACGGTCAGAACTTTAACACGGTGGCATTTTGTCTACACTGCATGGATCTGAGCGCTGTTTGCAGAACTTGGGCACTCAGATCAGGGCTATTTGGAGATGTATTATTTGTGGGGTTATTTTATGCTTTTATTATGTTTTGGGGTACTTTTATGCTTTTATATTTTGTGTTGGGCTCTCTGTTCCTGGGAAATAATTAGCTTTCCAGTCTTTTACTCAATTATCTCCCAGGCCCAGAGATTCTTGGAGGGGCTTGTGTTGAATACAATGAAAACCTCTGCCTTTTGAGGAATCAGCGGGGAAATTCCTTGTAAGCACTGTAGCTCCCAGGACTGTGTGTCCTCCAGGCCCTGGGAGACAACAGAGGTAGTCCCCAATCCTGCTCCAGAACGAAGAGGCTCCAGGAGGACCTCAGTCAAGCCACGGTGACTGGACCAGAGGCGCTGAGGTTTTCCCTGGTTTCAGCTAGGAAGTGGTCCTTGGCAGAGGTACTCAGCTGGGGTAGAGGGAGCTTCACTACACTCTCCCACTCCATGTAGAAATTCCCCCAATATATTGGACACAACCAGTCGTATTAGGTCTAAGAAAGACTGTTTTATTAAGGCCAAGTTGCCTGTTTATACATACAGACCCCCAGCATGGGTTCTCCATAAAATACAATAGTAACCCCGCCTAGGCGTCTCTGTGTCTGGGAGATAAGTGCGTGTACTTTTGCTTAAACAAATTATCTCCCAGGCACTAGAGGTAAAATATTGTACAACGAAAAATGTCAAAATACATTTAAGACGGATGGGAACCCCCACAAGTATGGTATCCCCAGATAGCCCGGATCTGAGTGCTGAAGTTGTGCAAATAGCGCTCAGATCCATGTAGTATAGCCGAATCGACACCGGGGTAAAGTTTTGTTCTACCGCACACATGGCCTTTGCCCAGAATAGTTCCATAAGAAACGAGGTAGTGGCCGGTCAACTTTCAGGAGTTCCTATACGCCTGTAACCAAAGGCTCCATCTGGCTCGTAGGGAGCGAATGGTCTCCCAGTTCAGGATAGTCTTCTTCCCGAACAGCACTCTCCTGGCTTGTCTTGGGACAGAGCAGGCAGCGGTGTGATTTTCCCAAAGTGTTCGAAGTATAGCTCCACGCACTCAACGACTACGTAACGCTGCCCAAGTTCAGGAGTCAAGATGGCTGCCTGTGACGAAAGCCACTTCACCACTGGTTTTTGGAGGGGACTACTTGCCAGCCTTTTACTCTGTGACTATGGCCCCTGCAATAGAACTGGCTAATATACTTTAAACAGGCTCTGTTTGTGGAATTAGGACTATATGGTTCATTTAACAAACAACCGCACGAACAGAGACCACCCTGGAGCTTAACATCTATTAACAACTTGGAATGTTTCTCACCGCAGTGTTCTATTTGTTCGTCTGGGTGGCCGCAATTACTATGAACAACCACGAAGTGGCGGCCATCTTGTTCGCATGGACGCAGGCAACGGTGTTTGGGCATGAATCTCATGGAACTGAAATCGGATACAGAAACTCCCGAACACCGCTGGACTTCCATCATCACCTGTGTTTATTTCTATTCAGCTTAGAAGGGCACTGTTCTGTCAGATTATTCGTCTGGATGAAGGAAACAAGCTCCAGGGTAAGACTATTGACTGTTCGGTAGTTTGTTCGTTTGCAAACTACCGAACTAGACCAGCCGCACAGCCTAATTCTATAGAACTGTTTTGGGCATGGGACCATGCCTGCGCCTAGGCAAAAATATGAATTCCATTAAACTTTTTAACCCCTGCTCTGACCTGGGTGATTTTTGGATATGTTCGTCACCCAGATCAGGGCTATTTATGGGGATTGTGGCGAAAGTGACCTCGCCACTGGTTTTTGGAAGGGCCTGTTTGCCAGCCTCTTGCCCCGGGACTATGGCCCCTGGGGGTATTGCCCTTTGGAGACGATTATTTGGGCTGATTGGATTTTGGGACACTTTTTCTGCCCCTTTGAAGCCCTGGGAAGGTGTGCCTCTTCCCCTCCCCCATTTCCTGTCCCATTGTTCTCCAGAAGGGCGTTGTCCCAGGGACACTGCCAGACCAGTTGGAACTGGCTGCTTTGTCCCTCCTCGGTCTCTCAACAGCCCTTGCTATGGTTTAACCCCATCGCGATTTGACTGTGTTCGTGTGATCTGAGCGCTGTTCGGCTATAGTGAGCACCCAGCTCCAAGCTATCTGGGGATAGGTCAAATGTGGGGGTTCAGTTCTATAGAATATTAGTTATGTATTTTAATGTGTTTTGTTGCAGTTGTGACTTAGTGATATTTTCTGTACCTGGAGATAATTGAGTTTACTCTGCTTGTTAAAAGAGTGCACTCACAAGAGTAGAGCCATATATTGAACCTGGCTCTGGTGTGGATGTCCTTAGGATCTTTAAGGGTGATCCAAATCCCCCTGTGGATAGTTTGGATACCTGGAGTATTTCAGTATTCTCCCAGCAATTAATTGCAGAAAATCCAAATAGGGTTAAAACAAAATTTATTTGATGAAACAAATGGATAAAAGATATGATGATAAAAATCTCTTAATGTCCAAAACGCATTTTGCCTAGTGTGGCTTCTTCACTTGGCATTAGTGATGTTAATGTATCCAGTTCTTTATATACTAGTGATTTTCAAGTTTGCGTTATTTTTCTTAATGTCTGTTGGTACAATACTTCCTGTTGTTTACGTCATATCCGGTCTTGTAGGTACTCTGCGTGTTTGGAACGCACCTCATTGGGTCGGCAACTCTCTTCCTGTTGCTCACGTCCTTTGCGATCACGTGTATACGCTCAGCGTGTTTGGAACGCACCTTATGTTTCACTGAATCAGCAAGCAGAGTGGGAGAAGTCTTTGGTGGAGTGCATTATGCGTTCCGCTCATATGACAAGATTTAACACATAAAATACTTAGGCATTATAACTTAATGTCTAAACTGGAAAAACAAAGAATTCAATATTAGATACATTTGATCACATATTTCTCAATGTTGTACTTTAGTGGTTTAAAAATACAGATGAGAAATTTTTAAAGTGACAGTATAATCATACTAATTATATATACAGAATTCAATATGGAGTGGAGTAACACCTCTTAGTGTAAAGTGGAAGGGAGGAAGAGTTTCTAATATATGATTTTTACACTTGCTCATGCATTGGTGAAATTCTAAAAAAATATAAAAATTATTACTTTTAAAAATATAAAACATAGTTATCTTATTATTAATACAGAAAAAATATTTAAGTTAAGATAAAAAATGACATAATTCGAAGTCCTGGTTAAGACCATGTGGGATGAGTGTTTTAAAATTATAAATGCATTTAATTTCTTCTTCTCCTATTTTCTTATTACCATTCTACCATTGGAAGAAGGAGAAATAGAAGAAGAAGAACTACCGAGCAGAGAGAAAAGAGGAAGGAATTAAACACAGAAGGGATGTTTTATTTAACAGGATCATCATTAAAGGAAAAACACATTAAAATATTACAAAAGGGCCTAATATTTGCTCCCACTTCAGATTTTAATGAACTCAATTTTTTTATAGATGTAAATAATTTTATTAGACCATTATCTTTAAATAAATTTTTTTTAATAAAGAAATAAATATGGCTGCTGAATCAAACTCAGATTTTATACAAACAGAATTAAAACAAAAATCACAATTTTCCCAAAATGTATAATTTGTGACGAAATGAAAACTTTGGAAAAAATGCTAATGAGGGAGGCACAAAATATAAAAAAATTCTGAAAAATCTGTCACAGACAGAGTACAAAGCTTTAAATGACTTAAAGGAAGAAAACTTTGTCATAAAATCAGCAGATAAAGGAGGGGGAGTTGTTGTTTTAAAAAGAGACAACTACGTTCAAGAAGCAGAGAGAATTCTTTTAGACACTAAAACCTATTAAAAAATACCTACGAACACAAGTGTGAATATACAAAAAAAGTTTGAAACATACGTAGAAAAGGGTTTGATTTAGGAATTTTGAAAGAGGAGGAAAGGAAGTATTTATTAATCCCACATCCAAAAACACCTGTTTTCTACTATCTGCCAAAAATACACAAAAATAGAAGCAATCCCCCGGGAAGACCTATTTGTGACGGACTGCTGGCACTCTGACCGACTACCTCAGCCAATCGATGCTCCTAGTGCTTGCTGAGGACTCCAAGCACTCCACCAGACACCATAAGTACTGCAGACCCCACGAACCGCCGCAGCTTGGTTGGGGTCTCGCCGCCCTTCACCCACGGTCAGTATCGAGCTTCCAGTGGGCAGGCCTCTTTTCCTCCAGAGAGTGTAGCAGGAACAAGCTCTTCTTAAAGAGCTTAGTAGTGATTATCCAAAGGAATATACAGAGCATAACAATCCCTTGTAGTGTTATAGCAATTCCCCCAATAAGGGCCAAGACTCTAGATTGAGGGTTAAGCAGGAACAGAATTCACTGAGGCTTTATTGCTTCTTTTATACACATTTTCCAATAAGGTTAACACCCACGTGGACCTTGTTGGGCACTGAAAGCACAAACGTAACAACCAATCATATACAGACACACAGTTAAACACTCCCATTCATTACAGCAAAATACTCCCCTCTGCCTGTGATATAATTACTGAACACAATGGGCTAACGTAATTATCACAGGCAGGAAAATATACTGTTTTTACATCATTTCTATAACTCTAACATTATACATCTCATTCGCATAAAACTTACATTTTCTGAATCAGCACAATTAGGGAACAAACATCTCCAAAAATCATTTGAATCCGTTCAGGAGTTAGCTGGAAGTCTCCTTTGACTGACCGCACGCACATTTTCATGCCCAAAACAGTTCCACAGATTTGGCCTGTGCGGTCGGTCTATAACAGGTGCCGTTCGTCCAAATGGCAATGTTAATGTGGCGTTCGAATAATATTACACTATATATATATATTAGTAATTCTCTATATAATGCCAATATTACACTATTTATATTAGTAATTCTCTATTTAATGATAATATTACACTATATATATAGTAATTCTCTATATAATGATGATATTACACTATATATATTAGTAATTCTCTATATAATGATACTATTACACTATATATATATATATATTAGTAATTCTCTATATAATGATACTATTACACTACATAGATATATATATTAGGAATTCTCTATATAATGATGATATTACACAATAAATATTAGTGATTCTCTATATAATGATATTATACTATATATGAGTAAATCTCTATATAATGATATTATTACACTATATATATATATTAGTGATTCTCTATATAATGATAATATTACACTATATATTAGTAATTCTCTATATAATGATGATATTACAGTATATATTTGTAATTCTCTATATAATGATAATATTACACAATATATATTAGTAACTCTCTATATAATGATAATATTACACGATATATATTAGTAACTCTCTATATATAATGATAATATTACACAATATATATTAGTAATTCTCTATATAATGATAATATTACACTATATATATTAGTAATTATATAATGATAATATTACACTATATATATATATTAGTAATTATCTATATAATGATAATATTATATTATATATTAGTAATTATCTATATGATGATAATATTACACTATATATATATATATATTAGTAATTATATAATGATAATATTACACTATATATATTAGTAATTATCTATATAATGATATTACACTATATATATTAGTAATTCTATATATATTACACTATATATATATAAATTAGTAATTCTCTTTATAATGATGATACACTATATATTTTAGTAATTCTATATATAATGATAATATTACACAATATATATTAGTAATGATCTATATAATGATAATATTACACTATATATTAGTAATTCTCTATATAATGATAATATTACACTATATATATATTAGTAATTATCTATATAATGATATTACACTATATATATTAGTAATTTGCTATATAATGATATTACTCTATATATATTAGTAATTCTCTATATAATGATAATATTACTCTCTCTATATATATTAGTAATTCTCTATATAAGGATGACATTACACTATAAATATTAGTGATTCTCTATATAATGATAATATACTATATATATGAGTAATTCTCTATATAATGATAATATTACACTATATATATTGGTGATTCTCTATATAATGCTAATATTACACTATATATTAGTAATTCTCTATATAATAATATTACTCTATATAGATTAGTAATTCTCTATATAATGATAATATTACACTATATATAGGTATTCTCTATATAATGCTAATATTACACTATATATTAGTAATTCTCTATATAATAATATTACTCTATATATATTAGTAATTCGCTATATAATGATAATATTACACTATATATATATATATATATATATATATATATATTAGTAATTCTCTATATATATATCAGTGATTATATAATGATAATATTACACTATATATATATGAGTAATTCTCTATATAATGATAATATTACACTATATATATATTAGTAATTCTCTATAAAATGATATTACACTATATATTAGTGATTCTCTATATAATGATAATATATATATGAGTAATTCTCTATATAATGACCGTTCGAGGTCAGCGTTGAATGAGGATCCACTTCCGGGTTCTCTCAGACGCCATCTTGGGTTCAGTATCCACGAGGTTTTCACCACGTTAGCTGTGTCCAGGAATCCTGTTCAGGCCTTTCCGCCCGTCCATATAATGATAATATTACACTATATATATATTAGTAATTCTCTATAAAATGATATTACACTATATATTAGTGATTCTCTATATAATGATAATATTACACTATATATATTAGTAATTCTCTATATAATGATAATACACTATATATGAGTAATTCTCTATATCATGATAATATTACACTATATATTAGTAATTCTCTATATAATGATAATACACTATGAGTAATTCTCTATATCATGATAATATTACACTATATATACGAGTAATTCTCTATAGAATGATGATATTACACTATATATATTAGTAATTCTCTATATAATGATGATATTACACTATATATATTAGTAATTCTCTATATAATGATAATATTACACTATATATGAGTAATTCTCTATATAATGATGATATTACACTATATATATTAGTAATTCTCTATATAATGATAATATTACACTATATATTCGTGATTCTCTATATATGATAATATTACACTATATATATATGAGTAAATCTCTATATAATGATGATATTACACTATATATTAGTGATTCTCTATATAATGATAATATTACACTATATATATATATATTTTATTAATTCTCTATATAATGATATTACACTATATATTAGTAATTCTCTATATAATGATATTACACTATATATGAGTAATTCTCTATATAATGATATTACACTATATATATTAGTAATTCTCTATATAATGATAGTATTACACTATATATGAGTAATTCTCTATATCATGATAATATTACACTATATATATATGAGTAATTCTCTATATAATGATGATATTACACTATATGTATTAAGGCAATTTGCCTGGATTTGTGGGAGGTGCTGGTTTGCTACCCCTAGCCTACTTAAGGCACGCCCCTTACCTGGCTCCTTACCGTTCGAGGTCAGCGTTGAATGAGGATCCACTTCCGGGTTCTCTCAGACGCCATCTTGGGTTCAGTATCCACAAGGTTTTCACCACGTTAGCTGTGTCCAGGAATCCTGTTCAGGCCTTTCTGCCCGTCCAGCTCCTTCTGACTCCGGTCTTCGTCGTAGATCGCGTCCCAGGGACTCCTAAACCGTAAGTCAGACCTACCTGTCATGCCAGGACCGGTTCCCACGGCGTACGGTACAGCACGGGTCCTCGCTTTACGGTTTTTCCCTGGTTATGACACGAATGTTTCAAGCTGTTCGCGGGCTTTTTCATTCATACGGTCATTCGGCTGAACAGTTTACTCGTTCAATAGTCATTTCACATATCAACTATTTCATGTTACATTGAAACGAATTATCACTCGGTTGTTTTGCCGTTCTGCAATTTTCATATACGCTCAAACACGCTTCGGTTCGCATAAGTTCATATGGTTAAACTGTTCTAACTTCTGTGTTTCCCTCACATTTGTTTTCGGCTTTATTTCTATGTATTACGCATAATCCTTTCATGAATTATATTCACTATTTCGTATGTATATAACGTTCGGTTAAGAATTGCTTGTTTAAATAGATAGATTATTTCTATTACTTTTTAAATATTGTCAGTATTGTATTACGTCCATACAAATCAAGTCCACTTATCTGTATAGACCATTTGACTCCCACGCTTTCAGGGGTCTGCATTACTTATCCATCCATACAAATGGACTCAGCCTATGTTACAGGCCTCATTTCTGTGTTATTACTATAACACATACAAAGGATACAGGTTCATTTAAGCAATAATTCTCGGGTTGATACGTCTTTTCAATACAAATATATATCATATGTATTAAGGCAGTTTTGCCTGTATTTGTGGGAGGGGCTTAAATGAATTCACTCCCCTATATAAGGGACACCCCTTACCTGACTCATATTGCTTGAGGTCAGCATCAGAATGATTTCCACTTCCGGGTCATCCAGACGCCATTTTACCTGATTACTCCATGAGGTTTTCTAAGCAGAGCTGTGTCAGGAATCCAGCCACAGGCTTTTCCGGCCTACCACCTTCTTTCTTCAATCCATCGCCGTGGATGGTGTCCAAGTGACTCACAAACAGTAAGTCGACCTACCCGTTACGCCAGGCATCAGTCCCACGGCACCATGCACGGGTCAGGTCCTCACTTTACGGCTGCATTTTGTCTATGTCTGTTCTAAAACCATTGCATGTTCATGCATATCATTCGTTTAAACCCCCTACCGGTCTTTGGGTGTACTACAGGCTTCTTAGACATTATTGCATTTCATGTACAAACCAACGAACCACTGCATTTTCGCCTACACACTGACCCCTACCGGTCATTCGGTGTACTACCGGCTTCTCAGACATTATTGCATTTCATGTAAAAACCAACCAAACACCGCATTTTCACCTACACACTGACCCCTATCGGTCATTCGGTGTACTACAGGCATCTTAGACGTTTTTTGCATTTTCATGTACAAACCAATAAACCACCTCATTTTCACCTACACACTGACCCCTACCGGTTTTTGGTGTACTACAGGCTTCTTAGACATTATCGCATTTCATGTACAAATAAACGAATCACTGCATTTGCACCTACACACTGACCCCTACTGGTCATTTGGTGTACTACAGGCTTCTTAGATATTATCGCATTTCATGTACAAATCAACGAACCACTGCATTTGCGCCTACACACTGACCCCTACCGGTCATTCGGTGTACTACGGGCTTCTCAGACATTATTGCATTTCATGTATAAACCAACAAACCACTGCAATTTTCACCTACACACTGACCCCTATCAGTCATTCGGTGTACTACAGGCTTCTTAGACGTTTTTGCTTTTCATGTACAAAACCATAAACCACTGCATTTTCACCTACACACTGACCCTTACCAGTCATTCAGTGTACTACAGGCTTCTTAGACATTATCGCATTTCATGTACAAATAAACGAATCACTGCATTTGCACCTACACACTGACCCCTACTGGTCATTTGGTGTACTACAGGCTTCTTAGATATTATTGCATTTCATGTACAAACCAACTAACCACTGCATTTGCGCCTACACACTGACCCCTACAGGTCATTCAGTGTACTACTGGCTTCTCAGACATTATTGCATTTCATGTACAAACCAACTAACCACGGCATTTTCGCCTACATACTGACCCCTACCGGTCAATCAGTATACTACAGGCTTCTCAGATTTTATTCCACTTCATAAGCAAACAAACGAACTACAGCATTTTCGCTTTTATACTGACTCCTATCTGTCAAATGGACACATGACATTAACCCCTTAAGGACACATGACATGTGTGACGTGTAATGATCCCCTTTTATTCCAGAAGTTTGGTCCTTAAGAGGTTAAAGGGTATTTTAACATACAATCAGCATTTCTGACCCCTACTGGTCAACAGCAAAACTGTCTTCACATGTCATATACAATTTACCAGCCAATATAAATTACACATAAGATTGTTTTAAACATAACTATAGACCATAAATTAAACTCCAGCACGGGCTCAACTTCAGGTTTAATTCACAATAATTTACATTTCACATCAAGACCAACAGTGGTTCTATCAACACTGCCACCTACAGGTCTGTCAAGTACATTGACAATTTTCATGGGGTTTTACAAACACCAAAACACTGACACCTATAGGTCAACAGACAAACAACATTTCACATACCAATCAGTATCCAACTACACTGCCACCTATAGGGCACTCGGCAGATCTCCAGTGCACTTGCATTTTGCAACACCATGTTCACTGACCCCTACCATTCAATAAGACATACAACAATTCACATAGCAAGCACTATGTCAACATCTGGTATAAATACATATATTATTACACAGTAGCAGACGCATCTGTATATATGTAACTGGTAATATAGTTCACATACATTTTTCACAGCACGCTGCTCCCGCAACAGACTTACAACATACAACATACAACATACAACATACAAGGTGGGGACAGACCACATTTTCACTTGTACATACGGCACTTAATGGGTTAAGATTGATACATATTTAACCAGTATGGCTACGATGTTTAATATTTACACATTACGTCACTTTACTTTTCACATATACTGTACATATTAAGATAAGCTTGGTCTATGCCATATTTCCTTATGCCATACGGTTTTATCCATTCAGGTTACAGTTACTACTAAAAAACCTATACGGATTGTCAGGTTCAATACCATACTACCAGGTACATACACCTGCTCACGTAGTTATCCATCTCTTACCTTCCCTGGAATAGTAATAGTGTACTGGCAATTAGGGTTCTAGGGCCCAATAGGTATTACCCCCTTTTTTCTCTGCATTATGCTTCGGTTAGTGGTCCCGCGAGGCCAACACCCCGCCTCACACTCGGAGGCATACACCCCTCGGGCCACTCGTGAGCTAGCCGCCTCGCATTGTATCATAGAGAGGACCTCACCTGTCACTCCCCTTCCTATTTTCTGGTTACTGTCACCGAGAGGCCAACATCCTGCCACAACGTTCGGTGGCCACACAAAATCCCCTCGCGCCAAGCATAGATAGAGCCTCTCAAGCCACTTGGCAACTAGCAGGGCCTCACCAGTCACCAAAAAACACCAAGTCTAATCGTTTCGCCTTACGGCTTAGCTAGCAAGCCAGTACAAGAACCCTGGGTACAAATAATAATTGCAATCTTTATTGTTATTTAAGTATTTCTCAAAAAGATGGTGAAGAATCACCTCTTCCTAGCACCCCGGCTAGAATTGATACACCTTCAAGCAGAGGAGATGTTGCTAGTCCAGCAGCAATCAGATCCTGGACGATCCCACACATTACCACCGACCTAAGGAGGTGACAAATCCCCTACCCTGCTACAGCAAGGAAAGCAGTTATTCAAACTCCTCCATACATCAACGGACAACACGGAGGCAGGGGAAGGCCCAGCTACATCAACTCAGGTGACACCCAGGCTATGCTAGCTTCACTCATAAACTCATGAGCCAAAAATTTATGACAGACTGGCAATCTCGAGTTGGTCACCACAGCCCTCACAAGGCTGGGCCTCACGCTACTGTACAACCAGCACCAACCGAAACTCGGTTACCTGGTACAATCAATTCTTATGACACACAAGATGTTAAACCTGCACGTATGATCCCAGCACATTGGGGAAGCAAGGCATATATATGTATGATGATGTATCTGTGATGGTCAGATCCAGGGATTCCAGGTAAATCGGGAACTGACCATCCCTTGGTTGGGTTGGCATTTGGAATATGTGGAGATGTTTATTTGTGCAGGTACCCATACAGAAGGGATTTTGTCCCAAACAAATGGACGAGCACTCTCAGGCTCCAGGTACCAGCATCTCTGAACTACCAGAGACCACTGATATGAGTAGTTGCATTGCATACAGACTGTTGCATATATGTTCAAATAGTTCAGGGCACATGACAAACCATGTGTCCCAATACAACTTACAAATAATGTATTCACCATCTGTACACACCAATGCATTTTCAACACTACTGACTCATCACCCTTCCAGACTTGTAGTAGATTTACTAAAGCTCTGGAGCTTCAAAGGGCTCCCATACAGGTATCATAAACACACCTTCAAGGAATATAGCATGCCCTCACTTACAGTCAGCACAACAAAACCATTGGCTGTAAACACACTCATAGCCAAGATTTGCAGAGGGGTCTTCCAATCTCCACCATTTACAGCATGGCACCAAACACACACATTGGTATTGTCACAAGGAATCTTCCCTTAAACAAAGACTAACCATGGACTTATCGGTAACACACACCTCCGCTACCCCAAGTCTCAACTCCCTCATACCCTCCGAGGATTTTTCTTACTATACAACACCATTGATCTACCTTTACAGCGATCACTCAAGCATGGGTTGAAGCTTGATTAAGTAAGACCAATATCATCAAAGCAGTAAACGGCTACCATCTACCCTACACACTGGCACTTACATGGCTTAAATTGGGCAATCCTTTCCCCGCTCAACTTTCGAGCTACAGATTAGCCTACTATCGATATTCGCAGATACTCTGTGCTGGTTATGATAACATATCCAGAGGCCTTACAGTCATACACTATCTAGAAGACTTCTTGTTAATCAAAGAAAGCATATTTTTCACTAGAAGCCTCACGGCAGCTTAGTCTGGTTGACCACTTGGGCGTCCCAGTACCCCATAAGAAACAGAAGGCCCAGACACTATCTTCACATTACTGGGAATATGACTTGAGTCGGCATCCATACACGCAAGTTACCACAAGACAAATAGGGAACATTCTCAACTACATCAATCACTACCTCCTGCTTAGTACTTACAACTGCAAGGAACTACGATCCCTACCAGGTTCCTTAATTTTGCCATGCTTTCACATCCAGAGTACTTCCCCTTTTTTCCACACTTCCAACATGATGATCAGAGGAGGTGCCTAGACACCTCAGCAACAGCAGACCTGCACATGGGGGGGGGGGATTTCTTAACCACTTGGCATGGTAAAAGCATGTTCCTTCCAGGATTGTCTGACACTTCTCCAACCAGATGGTCAGACGCAGCGTATACCACGGGTTTGGCAGCGATCTACCGGGAACAATTGCTTTGGAGCTGTTGGCCATGGCATCCAGGTTTGGAAATTTTTCCACCACTTCAGCCCCTTTGGGAGATCTACCCCATTGTAGCAGCTGCTGTGGCATGGGGTAAATCATGGTCAGGGTCATCAATCTGTTGTTACTCAGACAACTAAGCACATACCATATCATCAACAAACGCCACTACTCATCCATAAGTTCATGATGTTTCTGGGGAACTCACTTGGTTGGCCACTTATCACATTTCACTTTCATGTACCAGACGGGGGTATACATCCCTGCCGACAACTGTCTCATTTATATTCCAGGCATGTTCATCATACGCTTCCTACAGCCGCCCATACAGTCACGTCCACTCTTTCGTTCCAGAGACAAAATCATGGATTAGACATACTCATGCAGCATAGCATGCACTATCCCACCTAGCACTTTCGTCCCATACTTGTAGAACGCATAACACAGCTTTTCACCTGGCTTAAAGAATCTCATTGGAACACGACATAGCTCAACCTGTGTCACAAAATTTCTCATAAGTTTTGCTTATTTTTGCCACCTTAAACTTAAACTATCTCATACACCATTAATTATATATTTTACAGGCATTCAACAACACATGATAACCTATGGCCAAAACTACCATAAACTTCATGCTATCATACCAGAAAAGAATATACTCAGAGGTTTTCAGGAATCCATTCCCCCACGTTCCTCTCAGAGATTACCAATAGCCATCCAACTGTTCATCCTTATCGGACCTATTAGATCTACAACCATTCAATTATACTACCAAGTCGGCCATTACCAGCCATGCACATTGCCTTTTATGCCTTTCTCAGGCCAGAGAATCCACTACCATCACCACCACTCAGACAGATCATTGTCTTCAACGATCCCACGTACGTAAACACATATATCATTACCTATTGGCTCTACCACATTCCGAAATGAGTCAACATGCACCAACAGTAGAGATAACATACTATCCTACCTACAACAAATGGTGCCCACTTTCGGTCCTAGATTCCTACCTTCAAAATCCTTTCAGGAATTAAAGACTGTAATGCATTTAAGGAAATGTCTGGTTAATTTGTATATATTTGTTGACTGTATTAAATCTTTGATTATTCATTTTTGCCCTCTTTATTTACAGGCCTACCGTATCGTCGGTATCGGCACACCACAACCGACTTGCTCCCTTTACACTATCTAAGCTTATGCTGGATCCTTACTCCATATACGGCTATTTTGCCCCTTACACAAGTATTAAGGCAGTTTTGCCTGTATTTGTGGGAGGGGCTTAAATGAATTCACTCCCCTATATAAGGGACACCCCTTACCTGACTCATATTGCTTGAGGTCAGCATCAGAATGACCCTCCCACCCACTCCTCATTTCAACACTTTCTCTTTTCTTTCCATTTACTTTACTTTCTTACTCCTTGGTGGGCCCTCTTTATTTACAGGCCTACCGTATCGTCGGTATCGGCACACCACAACCGACTTGCTCCCTTTACACTATCCTAAGCTTATGCTGGATCCTTACTCCATATACGGCTATTTTGCCCCTTACACAAATATATATATATATATATATATATGTATATATATATATATATATATATATATATATATATACACATCACTTTACATAATTTTAAAGCATTTTGGGTATCCCTGCCTTTGGTTATTCTGCTACATATCATACATAACGCTGTGTAAAATAGGCCATGACCTAATCCATGTTCCTTTCTATAAAACCAGCTACATTTCTGTACAGATCATTGAACTCCCACGCTAGGAGTTTTATAATTATCCATTTCATTTCAATTCACTCAGCCTACGTTACAGGCCTTATTTCTCTGTCATGACTATGACACATAAGGCTTAATTCCTTTTCATGCATACTCGGGTTGAATCACACGTACTGATCCAACCAATCATACGTTTCCTGCACAGTCATATACATATATATATAACCTACATTTCATGTTCCCCTTACACAGCATTATCACATAACACATGGGTTGTTTGTACATAGGCCACGGCCTCCCTCAGATGTCTTATTTAAGCATGCAAACATTTCTGAGCCACTCATATCCATTCCCATCATATCAACATAATTTCAAAACATTGCTGCTACAGGCTATAAGTCTGTTCTTTTCAACAATCCACACTCATCATACTACTCTCTTTTACCCATTTTAGGCTGTCAAGCTTATATATATTTGCTCCACACGGTTTATTCCTGTAAATTTGTCATACTACCAGGTACGTACACCTGCTCATATGGTATTCTACCATACATTTCATTTCGTCCCCCTAGTTTAGAGTACTGGCAATAGGGTCACAGGATTCCCAATAGGTATTTACCCCGTCTTGGCAGTCGCCATTAGTTAGTGGTCCTGCGAGGCCAACAACCCGCCTCAAACGTTCCAGAGGCAAACACCCATCGGGCCACACGTTAGCTAGCCGCCTCGCATGTTGCATAGAGAGGGCCTCACCTGTCACTCCCTTCCCCTGTTTTCTGTCTTACAGTCACAGAGAGGCCTAAAACTCCTGCCACTACCAATTTGGTGGTTCAATATACTAATTAATTGTTTTATTTATAGTATGTCTCAGGAAGGGGTAGAGGAATTCTCCCTGCCTAGCACCCCGGCTAGAGCTGTCACTCCCACACAAGGAGGAGAGCTAGCTAGTCCAGCATCAATCAGATCCTGGACGATCCCGCGTATAACCACGGAATTAAGGAGACAACAAATCCCCTACCCCGCTACAGCAAGGAAAGCAGAACTTTTCAAACTGCTACGCACATCGACTAATAACATGGATGCCAGGGAAGGATCTAGCCAGTCCAACCCAGGAGACATACATGCCATGTTATCCTCACTCATGGCATCCATGAGCAAGGTCAACTCCAGGCTGGAGAAACTTGAGTCGGTCACCACGGCCCTCACTCTAGCAGGGCCACCCGCTGCTGCGGTACAAACACCAGCCTTGCCATTAGTCGCTCCAGCCATCACCCTGGATGACCAGGAAGTTAGCCCGGCCCACATGATACCTGAGCACATTAAAAGGGATATCCTGGAAGGTAAAGACGTCAACCTGGCTTCCCTGTTGATTGCCTCCCAGGATATTGTGGAACATAAGACGTATGCTTATGATGATGTATCTGTTATTGTCAGATCTAGGGATGCCCGCCTGAACAGAATACTGACTATACTATACCTGAATTTGTACTAGCGTTTGGTATTTACAGGGATGTCATCTGTGCGGTCTATCCCAACAGAAGAGAGGAGTTTGATCTCTATATGCACAAGCTGGTAGACCTGGGCAACAAATATGGTGGTTCGGCCTTCTATGACTACCATAGGTCTTTTTCTGCAAAAGTGTCTGGAGCCTTCTCCCAGTACGGAACTGGGGAAGGATTGATACCGTCTTATTTTGCAGACACTTTGCAGGTCTAAGAACACCAGCTTGTGCATACTGCTCCTCCACAAGCCATACTACAAAATTTTGCCCCAACACGGCAGACGGACATGCCTCCATGCAAGAAGCTAGTTCCTCTGGGGATCCAGGGAAATTATCAAGAGACAAACTGGGACGCCCAATCAAGTTTCTGGGTAAGTCCCAGATATGTAATAATTTCAATGTTGGGTCATGGGCACCCGCAGGAATTTTTCCGGGGGGGGGGGCATAATTGTAATGACATCCATGCATGGTACCTTTTTGACAGTGTCATGAAAGGGAAGGGGCATAGCCATTATCACATAAAGCCAGGGTGAATAGCGTTTTCAGAACTATGGTGTCAGGAATATATGTTTGTATTCCTGACACTATAGTGTTCCTTTAAGCAAATTCTGGTCACCATAACAACTTCACCTAAATGAAAATGCTATGATGCCAGGAAGCCCCTGGGTGCTCGCTTTCCTTTAAGGGGTTAAATCGCTCTCAAATGGTTTAACCCCAAAGGCTTCCTCCAGCTCCAGGTCGCTCAGTGGTATTTGGCTTCTGAAACAGAGTGTCAGGAAGTGCAGATTGACGTCAGGCATGTGTGCCGCTGATTGGCTAGAGTGGACAGTTGACGCTCTAAGCCAATCGCTAGTTCCCGGTTCATAAAATAGTTTAACTTTTTTATGAATGGGGAGCTACTGATTGGCTTAGAGTGCCAGCTGACCGCTCTAGCCAATCAGCAACACCCCTACCCAACGGCACTCTGTGCTTCCTGACACTCAGTAAATAAAAGTGAACACATTAATACTGATATTTTTTTACCTTTGGAGATGAGAAGGTCCAGCGTTTCCCTGCCTGGCCCAGGTACCAAAGCCTTATGATGTGGTGTCCAGAATAAAGTGGAGGGTTCACTTCATTTGTCCTTCCTGCTCCAATCTCCTTTTCCTCTCCTTCATTTGACAGTCTTTTTTTTTTCTTCTGACACTGTTTTCTATCCTTGGCCCCTTCTGCTCTTTTACCTTTCTGCTACTTTCTGCTTATTTTGCACCCTTCTGCTCCTTTCTCATTCTGATCCCTTTCTGCTCCTTGCAGACCCTTTCTGCTCCCTTTTCTACTTTACCTTTGTGCTCCTTGCTGTCCCTTTGTGCTCCTTCTCCTACTTTACTTTTGTGTTCCTTCTGTTTCTTTCTGCTCCTTTACCTTTGTGCTCCTTGCTGTCCCTTCCTGCTCCTTGCAGGCCATTCCTGCTCATTCTCCTATTTTACCTTTGTGCTCCTTCTGCCCCTTCCAGCTCATTTCTGACCCTTTCTGCTCCTTCTACTTTACCTTTGTGCTGCTTTACCTTCCAGCTCCTTGCTGACCCTTCCTGTTCATTTCTGTGTGCTCCTTCTCCTACTTTACCTTTTGTGCTCCTTGCTGTCCCTTCCAGCTCCTTGCTGCCCTTGTCTGCTCCTTGATGTCCCTTCCTGCTCATTTCTGTTCCTTCTCCATTTCTTACTTTACCTTCCTGCTCCTTGCTGACTCTTCATGTAGGCTGTCTCCCCCATCCCTCACTTCCATAGGCATGCGCACGGGGTGTGTCGTGTGTGCCTGGGCACACCCTAATCCCCGCGGCAGGGGATTGAGAACGGCAGGGGAGATCTCTGGATCTCCCCGGTCGGCTGATGCAGAGCCGACGCAATCCGAGCGGCGGCTCTGGTCTAAGCCTCCATGGGCCGGTGGGGAGATCAAAGTTCTACCTCACCGGTCCATAGCAGCATGGAGGGAGGCAGCAGAGAACCCGGGCTAGAGTTCACTCTCCACTGTACCACCAGGGAAGGCAGCAGGACTGGGATATTAACTAATCTGCCCCCACCTCCATCCAAACATACAGCACACACAGACACACATAATCTATAGGCTGCTGCCCCCCCAGCCTCACTCCCTAATCTATAAGCTGCTGCCCACCCCCCAGCCTCGCTCCCCTAATCTATAGGCTGCTGCCTCCCCTAGCCTCACTCCCTAATCTATAGGCTGCTGCCCCAGCCTCACTCCCTCTATAGGCTGCTGCCTGCTCCCTAATAGCCTCACTCCCTAATCTATAGGCTGCTGCCCCCGATCCCTCACTCCCCCTAATCCGGGCTGCTGCCCCAGCCTCACTCCCTAATCTGGGCTGCTGCCCCAGGCTCACCCACTCCCCTAATCCTAGTGGGCTGCTGCCCCAGCCCTCACTCACTCCCTAATATATAGGCTGCTGCACCCCCTGGCTCCCTAATTTATAGGCTGCTGCCTCCCCCCCCAGCCTCACTCCCTAATCTACCAGGCTGCTGCCCCATCCCTCACTCACTCCTAATCTATGGGCTGCTGCCCCCCCCAGCCTCACTCACTCCCCTAATCTATAGGCTGTAGCCCCCCCTCTCAAACCCTCCCCCCATCCCTCACTTACCTGATCTGTAGGCTCTCTCTGGCTGCATGTGTTGTTCCCCTGCGGTTTCAATCAGCAGAGAGATGCAGGGATAAGATATAGCTTCCTATCCCTGTCTCTCTCCATACACAGCACCTACTGGCCGGCGCCGGTATTGCAGTTCATTTTCAATCACACGAAAAATAGCAGAACAAGCTGAAAAATCCAGGGGGGGGGGCAAGTGCCCACCCTTGCCCCCCTGTGGACGACCATGTGTTGGGTCTTGTAATTACAGTGTATGTAGACTATTGCATGTCTGTTCAAAATGTTTTAGGGCACATGCAAAGACCATGTGTCCAAATAAAATGTATTCCAAGCCTTACCTAACGTCCATTAATATGCCAGTATTCACAGCATTTATGTCTCAGCACCCATCTAGACACCTGGTAGACTTTCTTATTTCTGGTTTAACAGAAGGCTTCCACACAGGTATCCTACACATACCAGCCGGAACTCTGGAATGCTCTAACCTACAATCCACCCAACACA